ATGCGGTTCCTTTATCGTAGATACTATCACACACTGTACTGGAGCCTGACGACGCCCAAAATGCGAGAGACTATTGACACCCTGGCCACAGGAGAGGACATTCTGTTCAACTGCGTGGTAGGCTACGCAACTCAGTCAGCACCGCTCCTCTTGACTGTCGGGGGCGCGCGCTCCTCAGTGTCCGCTGAGGCTTTTAGTGACTTGGTCAACTACATGGGCGGATCGACTCTGGACGTCAATCAGCACTCCCAAATCACACCAAGCGTGGTGCTCACCTATCGGCACACCTGTCTGCGAGCCTTTGCCAACCGCTTTAGCTCCCTTTACAACACGGCTTTCGCCAATCCTCAGGCTGGGCGGCACTTTGGTCTCATGAACTCCACAAATACCTCGTTCCTTCCTCTCTACTATAGCAACCATCGGTAGGCAGTCTGTTTTCGCTGATTTTGCCTAATTTCTTCATTTTCATACGCTTACATTGTTAAACTCAAGCTCACCTGTGTTTCTTTTTTAGATTTGTGAGTACTGGAGATCATTTTTGAACTGACACATGGAATCTTCACTTTTAACTTGAGGATTTTTTGAAATAATTTGTGATGTTTTAAACTTCACTGCTTTACATGAACAGTGCTTTCAGCTTTACCTTGGGCAGTTTCTTATATTTAAATAAAGTTTTATTGAACCCTATGGTCTAGTAAATTTTTGCCCTCGAAATATTTTTCCTAGACTGCTTTGTCTAGTACATGCTCATGTCTGATTCACAAGATATCTGCCACTGTGACTGCAATGTTTGATTATACGGGTACTTAATTCTTCGTGGATTGCACTTCCACTCGGTGACATGACCTCTGGGCCCTGCTAGTAGCCTCAGCTCTTCTGTACGTCAGTAATACATTTGCTGTCACGCTACTATGACTTCCTACGACTCCTAGGAAGACTCGGGGCGCTACATAAAAGGTTGATTTTTGGGCACATGACAATAGACATAGTATCCGATGCAAAATAATGACAAGACATGGAGGTCGCGTCCCAGTGATGCAAACACAAACACAAGTGGCATTCCGGGAAGAATTGTGCACTTTCATCCACAGGCAATCGGGCATGCTATTTGCTGCTGGAATCACCGTAATAGGGTAAGCTTTCAAACGTGAGGGGTGGGAGTCTCGGTATTTTAATCATTCTTAGGGCTTAAACCCAATGTACCAGCAGGAATGGGCTTCCTGAATAGAGGGTAAAATCACGGTAGCATGAAGCCTTTAGTGTCCTTTTGATAGGTGATCTATTTTAGCTGGCGGCAACAGTAATAAATTAAGGTGGAAGGGGTGATTTTGCACTAACTGGTAGTTTTTGAGGGAATTTTTCTAGAAGTGATGATTTAGGTTATATCCTTTGTATGCCCATTAAAGTTATGCCGATGTTCTGTGTAAATAGTGCAGTTTCTTGCTGTATGCAGGTGCAGGAACTCATAATTACATTCGAAGGGAGAGTGTTTTGCAGGATTTTTGGGATTTTGCGTGACAGATAGCAGAGTGGTGGATTTGCAGTCATGGGCTCACTAGCAACTCCTATAAAAAGTGCCTCTGAGTTTTAAATTATTTCGTTTCAAGAGCTTGTGTTATAGCAATAGGATTAAGCTACGGCATACCCAGGCCTAAATAAATTCCATAAAATGTACATTTGTTTTATTTTTTTCGTATACTTTGCTGAAGGTCATTTTATCTAGCTGGTGTCGCGCGATCTATTTAGTCCTCTTTTGTTGCTAGTCCTCTGCGAAATGGCGGATGTAGACAGATTAAATGTTGACAACGTTATTGCGAAGCTTCTTGAAGGTATTCTTGTACTCTGCGCTCGTATATTTTTTAGTCCGGGGCTCAAGACCCGGCAAGTCCGTTCAGCTCTCTGAATCTGAAATTCGTGCTCTCGCCTTCAAAGCACGAGAGCTATTCTTGCAGCAGCCTGCGTTACTTGAACTTGAGGCCCCAGTGAAGATTTGTGGAGACGTTCATGGTCAATATTACGATTTACTTCGGCTTTTTGAATACGGTGGATTTCCGCCAGAGGCAAACTACTTATTTCTTGGTGATTACGTTGATCGTGGGAAGCAATCTCTCGAAACGATTTGCCTCTTATTGGCTTACAAAATTAAATTCCCAGAGAATTTCTTTCTTCTGAGAGGGAACCATGAATGTGCGTCTATTAATCGTATCTATGGTTTCTACGATGAATGTAAGTTTTACTCTAGATGATATTCTTTGAAGGCAAACGACGATATAACATCAAACTATGGAAGGTTTTCACAGATTGTTTCAACTGCTTGCCCCTTGCTGCCATTATTGATGAAAAAATATTTTGTTGCCATGGCGGTATGACTGGTTGCTCACTGACTTCTTTTTAAGGTCTGTCGCCTGACTTGCATAGTATGGACCAGATTCGTAGAATTACCAGACCAACTGATGTTCCAGATCAGGGATTGTTGTGCGATTTGCTTTGGTCCGATCCTGACAAGGATGTAACTTCCTGGGGAGACAATGATCGTGGTGTTAGTTACACCTTCGGCGCGGACGTCGTGTCGAAATTCCTCGCTAAACATGACTTCGATTTAATTTGTCGTGCACACCAAGTAGGTGAAGTGTTTCGTGGTTTTTTGTGGGGACAAATGTTTCACACCTTTTTAGACAGTAATACGTTAACTTTCCTTTTGGCTCACTCTATCACAGTCTGCAGTCCTTCTAAAAAATAACCTATTTGGCTCGAAAAATTTACCTTGTAATCTTATTTGCAAAGGAATGCGGCTGAGAATTATTTTATTTTATGATAGATTTGGTTAGATTCTCGATATCCTTAATGTATTTTGGAAATCCATAAACTGGAATGAATGCTTTTTCCTTGCTAATTCTTTTGTGTTTTACAAAAATATTCGCGATACAAATATTGATTTGCGTCGCCAATAAACGGCTTATGCTGATTTCGTGCATATATATGTAAATATATGAACAGCTGGATTTTTAAACCTATTTTAACCATTTATGCTTCAAGCATGTTACAAAGTCGGCGTATAGGACGCCAGAATATTCTCTTACTATTTTCGACTATCTTATGCTTGCGCGTGAGTCTTGCATTGGATTTTCCGTACAAATGGTTTTTTGACTGACCTTTTCGCCTCAAGTCTCATTGTTTTTATCATAAATTGAACACTAGTAAAATTTCTCCTTAAAACAACATGTTTTTAAACCCATAAATCATTTTAGTATCATTCCACCTAAATAACAGCAGTATTCTCCTGGAGGAGATGAAGAAATGTTTTGAAATATACTCGATGTCAAGAGAATGGTTACCTAGTTTCCGTTTCCGTCGCACCTTTCTATTAATAGTTGGTTCTTCGAATGGATTAGCCCAATGTGTTTGTGCAAACATCTGGGCTGCTCATTACAAACCACTAAATCACTGGTTGTATGTCGTCATGCTTAGGGATGATGTAATGATTTTATTTTGTTGCACCTCTTATACTCACTGTTGAATTCATTTTCCCGATGAATTGCGTAGGAATTACATGGTTATGAGTTTTTTTTCAATGGTTTGAGTTATCGCTTAAGCCGTGGCATTTAAAACTAAGGACACCCACATCATATTGATCATCCAAATTTCCACTACATTTTCCCATGGATCCAGTTAGTGTAACCAAGGCGTCTATGGGCAGATTAGCTTATTTTATGACCAGCAAAGTTACCTTAAGCGTCCCTAGGTGGATTCATGATCAGTAACGCTAACCTGAATTCTGTGCGAACTTGTTTATTAGGCTTTTGCGCGTCTTTTTAATCCAACCATAATAGTAATGTATTTTGCCGGGTAAATTGCGCATCCCTTTGGGTTACTTTAAATTGGTTCAATAATTGTAATATTTATTACTAATGATGACTTGTTGTACTAATTTTTTGCGCCTCTTACTCCATGTTTGCTCATTTATGACGGCCATGTTGTTTTTTCTTAATCTTTCACTATTAACCTGCATTCCACCAAGTTGTCCATTCTTGATCCCAAGATATTTTTGGAAAAATATGTTGATTCTTATTATTCTATCCTATTGGGTACGCGTGATAAAGTGATTAATCCTCGGTGTTGATGTTTAGGTGCACCATAAATACGACCTGAATGAGTAGTACATAGACTTACTGAGTCATCCGTGATGTTCCATATTTGTGTGCACCAGGAATCTAGTATTTTGGGTTTTTGGGGAGATTAGAAATTTGTTCCCTAATTTTAGTCTAAGTTTATGAATGCACCTCTCCAAGATATCAAATGATACTGCCAATTAAAATGTGTTCATAGCACCCATGAGATTTTGTAAAAGTGTCAATTCAATTGCTATTTCAGTTGCTGCTTTTCCATATTTTGTGCGGATTATTTAAGGCTTTTTAAAAAGAACGGCTCACATATCGCATCCGAGTTTTGGCGAAACTAACAACCTATTTAAGTTGCCCTGTGTGACCTCTGTCCTCAATTTTACTGGCCTTGCAGACTACAAATTTGGGAATTGCGTCGACATTGGCAACTGCTTGAGCATTTGAATGAGTGTTTGAAAGTATTTCTGTAAAATATTTCCTCTTCAATGCATGCGTCAGTAGTCGTCTATTTTTCACATTTCTCATTGAGCCACAGGGCTTGCATGGGTTTTTCACTCGTCTTCTCTGAACACTTCAGTTTTTTAATACAACTTTGAAGTTGTTAGTGTTATTAAAAGCCTTGGTTTTTTTCGAGGCATGACTCACTGATCTTCCTCGTTCGTGTTACGGATTGTGCAGGAATTTAAAATGGGTGTATTTTTTATTTGATGTCACCTTCCCTTTATTTGGGATGATATCCGTCGTCGTTGTACTTTATCCCAATGAATAATGAGGCGCAAAAACTAACGCACTTTGGAAACAGCTTTTGGATTCTCCTATCGGAAAAAGTATGAACAATCTATCCGGTGATTTCAAGATTTGGTGGGTGGCCTTTACCCACGCCTCATAGGAAGACTTGTACACTTTACTATCCGTGACGGCTAATCATTTGGCTAAAATAGTTAGGGTACCGCTTGTTTCATGTACTGCTTGAGATCGTCCTATGGCTTTTGGTCTTCTGTTATCCTAGACGCCCTAATCGCTTTGGGAGAGTATGCTTCTACCTATCAGTGATAGTCATTCTGGCTTTAGTTACGGGCATCTCATAGGCTCTTGATGCATTCTAACTTTACCTTCAAATGAGCACTCTTCCTCATTTGCGCGTATGTGTGAGTGTGCTCTGTTTTTTTCCGCTCTGAGAATCTCATCAAATGTTTTTTTAGCTCAAGTTTGCTCTCTCAATCCAGCTTCACTTATTTTCACGTGACATAAGCACACATTTAAGGAAATTTTAACTTCGGGATGAACAAATAATCCTCGTATTTACCAATTTGTTGTTATTAGCACTACAATATTCTAGACTATGTAATTTTGATTTTGTACTCTCCTTCGGTCCGTGGAAAAGTGCATTTATCTACGGTGGGTATCACGGGACCCGTATAGCATTGTCCCGAGCTAATGACATGCTTACATCGCCGTCACATGCCTATCGGCTTTCGTGAGCCTTTTAATATCACCTTTTTCATATCCTGCATCTATTCCTCACCTCTCTAAGGCTGTAACTCATCCAGCTCTAGCAGCTGTTGCGACAATTTCATGATCGTTGTTGCCCATGGTTGCGGGATTAAGGTAGGTGTGCCGAGGTTGCTCGAGTGAGAAAGCACCAAGCTGATTTCCGGCCAACATTTATTGTTTGCATTTATAATACTTTCCACTTCTTCACTAAAGCTTCTTGATTTATTTATTTCCAAATTAATGTCTTATCATCCGGAGCCAGGCATTTATATACTACTTTGTCCATTATCCTTTCGTTCAATTTCCAGCTGCTTCCCAAAATAATTCTAGAGCAACAGGCGTTAGTTTCGTTTGACCAGGCACCAGATATCATCGTTATCGCGTCGCTTCTGCAATTTTTCGGAGAAGGATTCCTTGGCAAAAAAAACTATCATTTGATTTATTCCTTTACCTCACTTTTCGTACCTGTGACATCTGTGTTGCATTTAGAGCACATCAATTGCCCTTGACAAAGTCGCCGTCCACTTTGCGAGAAATTCAAACATTTTCTGGTTTTTTCTATTAAAGCTTACTGTTATCTTAGTCGTCTAATGGGCGTCTCCAGAATGTACCTGAATGGACCGTGTTTTAGTACTGTTATTTTGGCTCTCACTTTGTACCAGTCGCGTGGTCTTCTGGTCTATTGAGTTAAATCCTGAAAAGTACAATAGCGTCTGTCCTGCAAAAGTTCTAAGTCGAATTAAGCGTCAAAAATTTATGGACAGCTTTTGATTTACCCAGTTTTTAGATTTTGAATATGTGGATCCGCTTGTCTGTTTTCACTTTATCAGATGACCTAGACTTTTACAGTCCAGCCACTTCTGTTGACCATATAGACCCATTTAATTTCAAATGCGGCATGAGGTCTTGTATTTATGATCCAACTTACTAGGGCGCATTAATATGAACACTTCATGCCGAGAATTTCTCGTATTTTTTTCCACAAACGATTGTTTGCCATTTCTTTTGAATTGATTTTTCTTACCTTCTCCTTTGACGACTATTACTTTTCGTATAATTTGTGCTTTGTTAATTTTCGTGTCAACAAATATGACGAGGTACACGCTTGGAACCGTAGTTTTTGTATTATTCATCCAATCGGTAATGCCTAATTTATATGTTATCCGAGTTGGTCGCACACATCTTTGTTCTCCTTGACACATTGAAATTTCAGTGTGAATATTGTTCAGTTACCAATACGATTGTTCAAGCTTCCTCATTATTCAGTCCTTACATGGCAGTTCTGATTTTGAAACCCGATTTTCAAGCATAAAAGAGGTTGGTAGAAAATGCACTAGTTGATGAATGTAGGTTGGTCATAAAGGACCACATAACTAGGGATCATTACTGAAAGTTGCAAAAATCCTTTTCTATTCAATTCACTTTATACATATTCATAAATATGAACGACCTGTTCGCTTTATTTGCATAGGGTGTGGTGATTTCCTGTCGACGTGACTGCAGTTTTCTAGCGGTGGGGCGCGTGATGGCCTCCACGTATAAGGATTGTTCACCTCTATATGTTTCTCCCCTGTTTTTTGTCTACGCCCTTAAACCGCATTGAGTCCACTTTAAAGTCACGGTGGAGTGTCAGTTAGGTAAACACTTAACACATTGATCAAGTTGTACATCGACCTGCGGCCACAAACTTGTGTGCGTTCCTGTCTAGTGTTTACAGTGTTCCATTTTTAGTTTTGACAATCACCTTGTCGCGATACTTGTCTGCCTGTAATGAACCTTACCAGTGGGTGGCGGTGCTCATTTTGTATCTTATTTGATTCCTCGAAGTAAGTACATCCTGCGTACCCTGGATGTCTCATAGCAACTTAGACCACAGCTAAATGCTTGCTTGGATGCCTATAATAGAGTTGAACCTAGTGTGTAAATTCGACTAGTGGCACTAGTTTCACTATGTATTCTTCAATTGTGGAATGGTTGTCGTAAATCCCAAACATAAATTTCATCGTATCATCGCCGCTAGCTTTGGTTTCTATGATTGTAATTCCTTATTCCGATTATTCGTTTTGTAATTAGACTAAGTTTACTCAGATGTACGCTTTTTTGTGGATTAAAACAAGCTAGTTTACACTTGGTCTGCGCTATTTCTATCCTCTCGTGCCTAGTTAAGTTGTGATTGAAGTTTACTTTTTCACTGCCTTGAATCAAAACATGGGTCTTATTTAGCAACCTACTCAACAGTGTGCTCTTGGTAGAGGTAATCGTTTTCTTTTTGCTTGGTTTACAAGCACTTTGGAAGTTTAGATTTGACGATTTATTGATAAGGACCGCACTATCACAGTTCCATGTGAGACTGATACGACTCGTAAAAGGGGGAACTTCATACCGTCACATCAGTTTTTTTGCATTAAGACATCTTTCGCTTCGCCCGCTCATTTATTTGTCGCACCTCCTATGCTTTTATAGATGTTGCACGAACGCTGTATTCATTGCTTGGAATTTCAGGTTGTTGAGGACGGCTACGAATTCTTCGCAAAGCGCCAGCTCGTTACTCTCTTTTCGGCACCTAACTACTGCGGCGAATTCGACAATGCGGGGGCTCTCATGTCTGTTGATGAAGCCTTGGTCTGCTCATTCCAGGTACATCCACCTTGGCCGTCCCGGCCGTAGGGGTATCAAATAATTAAATTTTACCAATCTTATGGCATTTCACTGCAAGCAAAGAACGTTCTCATTGCGAAGTTATTTCAATCAATTTGTCATTTTCTACATTGCAGATGTTTATCCTTCATTTTGTTTCTCGATTAATGCCTTCCTCTAAAAATCATGCACTGATTCCAGAACCTATCATGCAAACAGTGAATAGATTTTCCCTATAATGCATCTATTTCCCCTGCTCTCCATGCGTAATGCATCCCATTTTCTCAGCCTTCTACCACTACCACTGCAAGTTCTTTCCAATAGTGGTTTGTTTGCATAGACCTCTTTTCTGTTTCTTTTGCGTTCAAATCCTCACACCAGCGTGACTGCCATGTTTATCTTCCAGGGCTACTTCATTCCTCTGTTTTATTGCATTTTCGCCATTTAAAGTGGTTTACAGCCGGGTAAAGTAGCGTAAGTGGGACAGAACATTTTCTTGGTCATGGACTTCAGTTTCACTCCTTTTTATTCTAAAACTGCCGTCTCCAGCTGTGCCCTTGGTAAAGTCGTTTCGGGCAGCAAAAGCACTGATTTATTTGTAGGAACATTTCGGCTCAAATCCTCAAAGCTTGGAAAACAGCGTTCCTAAGTATCTTCACTTTGGGGTTTTACGGGCGACTGACTTTGGTGTATATTCCTCCATCCGTCTTCTGCCTATATTACCGAAGCAAGTAAATTACTGAAATGTTTTGTGCTGTTTCCTTGTCATAAATTTTACACCGACGCTCTAGTGAAGTGTCTTGAGATCATTATTTTTTCCGTTAGTTGGCTTCATTGCCTTCCCAGTAGGAATTAATCCCAGCACTCAATGACATTCATTTCAAAATTCTAGGACGATTACTGTAATTTTTCATTTGGCCTAGTGTTGCGTATACAATAACGGTTACCAATATTTCTTAATGGATTTGCATAGAGAAACATGCGTTAATTTTGTCCACGATTCCCAAATGGGAGACCTTTTTAAAGAACAACATTGAAAACGTTAAAGCGTCCTTGCAACTGGTGTAATTTCTTCTCATTTGCCATAATGGGTACGACATTTATCTAGACCTAGTCGATTTACCGATCAAGTTGCGAGAAGTGACTTCTGCCTACCGTCGGTGCTATTTCCCTATGTTCAATAACAGTTCCAAGCTTAAACTAGACACGGAATATCTTTGTGTTTGTGTACATGAGAATGGTGTGAGGGCTTAAAGTTTGTTCCGAGCACAACTGTCAAATGTCGTTGGTTATGAATGGAGTTTCCAGGCCATCCATGTTCCTCCTCTAACTTAGTAGACCGAATTGCTCAATTTATTTACTCTAAACAAGATATATTGCGCATCGCAAATTCATATATAAATATATATATATATATA